CTGGTGTCTCGTCGCGAGTACGTGGCAAGTGGGTAGTGTTGCAGTAACGTCGGGGTGATGCCATCGATGCGCTGTCCTGGATGTCACTATAGTACAATGTTGTGAAGTGGTGGTGGTTTACGGCGGCTTACTCTTTGCCCTACTTTGTTGCTTCGCTAGTGGTGGTGATACTGGGGGCTGGTGGAATCATTTCATTTCGTTCTCGAAACGGGATGTGCGGAGCAAGCTGCGTTCTCGTGAATCTATCTTTGCTGACACTTTGGCTCGCAGGCTTGTGGTCTTTGACCGCTCAGGCCGCCTTGCGCCAATGCAGCTCTGGGCGTCGCAGCTCCGTGGGTAGCTGCGCAGCTCCCGGGATGGGCGGCGCGGCGCGGCGCGCGGCCTCCTGGGCGCCTTCGCTGCTGCTGCTGCTGCTCTGCGGCGCGGGCGAGGCTCGCGCGCGCGCGCGCGAGCGGCGTCCCCGCGCCGGCCGGGCCGGGCGTCCGGCGGGGGGGCCCGTGTCGGGGCGGGGGGGTGGAGAGGGGGTCTTCACTGCGGCCGCACGTCGCCAGGACGCATCGGCCGGGCCCTGTCACTTCAGGCACCGTCGGAGGCGCCACCCGCCTCGGAATCCCTTTTTTCCACGCGGTGGCGGAAGCGGCACGTGGCGCGTCTGTGGCGAGGGCGAGCAGTAGGACGAGGGAGTCTTTCGGGGGTTTCCTCGGCCTTCGGGGAGGAGCTGGGTGGCTCTTGCGGGGGGGCGGGGGCGGGAAGGCGACGGGAGAGGAGGGAGGGAGGGTTCCAGTTGCTGCAGGTGTTTCCGAGGCCGTCGGGAGGCGGATGAGGTGGATGAGGACGCTGCGGTTCGATCGCCAAAGTCCGCGCAGCGCGGGAAATGAGGGGGTGGCGGCACGTGGTGCAGCTCACCATGCTCACTGACCTCTCCATGCGCGCGCTACAAGCCCCGTCTTGCCCCAGGACCCCCTTGCCCTCTGCTCCCCCTCGTGCCCTTCGCGCCCTCTCGCCCCCCCTCTGCAGACGCGCACTGTTCCCAGAAGGGCGCAGGCCCAGGGTTCTCTTTTGGTTGTGTTCCACTGTAGGGTCCCAGCGGCGTTGGAGGAGGAGGGGGAGTATGATGGGAGAAGGAGGGGGAGAATGTGAAGGAGGAGGAGGAGGAGGACCAGAGTAACCCCTAGACACATCAACGATGTTGCAATCAACCCACATCCAGCGCGTGTGCAACGCGACCTCGATGTATCTTGGCATTGCCCCTTTGCGAATGCTTACCGGTTCGATTCCGCTCCTCGCGGATGTTTGTTTGACTGCCAGGCGTTCGATCAAAGTGACACGGATTCTCTTCGGCATTACTCGAATTGTCCCAGACTCGAAGCCCTCTTGACCCGTTGGATGGGAAGGACAATGAGGGTATACCGACGTGAGATGAGCCCCCACTGGTTTCCCTCCTGCCTCCTCCTGTGCTTTGATCATTGAAGTGTGCCACCCGCACGGATGCCTTTCCCTGCGCGTTCAACAAAATCCACGAAACCCATGCAAATCTGCGGATTCCACGAAATTTCGCTGATTTCGTGGTCTTCGTCAGTTTTCTTGGGTTTCGCTGATTTTGTGGATTTCGTTGATTTGCACTGGTTGCGTGCATTTTGCAAATTTCGTGGGCGCACTGCTGCCCCTGAGCTTGTGCTCGAAGCTCGCCTGCGAGTCACCGCCGGGCGGCACCCCGAGCTCGCCGCGGCCTGGGGTGAAGCAGGTTTCTCTTCTTGCCCCGCCACCCGGCGAGGCCGGCCGCCCCTCGACGGGAGGCGCTGCCTCATCCCCTCCTCCTCCTCCTTGCTCCTCCTCCTTGCTCCTCCTCCTCCTCCTCCTTGCTCCTCCTCCTCCTCCTCCTCCTCCTCCTCCTTGCTCCTCCTCCTCCTCCTCCTCCTCCTCCTCCTTGCTCCTCCTCCTCCTCCTCCTCCTCCTCCTCCTCCGCTCCTCTGCGGCTCCCCTGGGAGGTGCCGGTCTTGCCCCGCTCCTCGACTCCGCCGTCGAGCGCCCGGAAGCCGTCGGCGACGTCGTCGTCGCAGTCCTCGGAACCCCGCGCGGCAGGCGGGTGCTTCCTGCGGTGGGGCTGCGGTCGTCTCGCCGGGGGGGGCCCCGTGCTGCTTGGCGTCGGAGCCGACCGCCTTCCGAAAGTAGCTCTGACAACCCAGCGAGACCTGGACGAGACCAACGACGATGCTGCAATGAACTCGCCCTTCGATCTTCGCATCCTAGGGGAACAAAACATGGCATAAACATAAAAACTCGGAGGTCCGCGCGGATTTCTCGGATCGGCGCTGGACCCCCCTCCCTGGCGCGCGGAGCGCGCCAGGGGCGGCGCCGGAGGCGCCGCCAGGGGGCGCCAGCGCCGATCCGAGATATCCGCGCGGGCCTCCGAGTTTTTGTGTTTATGTCACTTTTTGTTCCCCTAGGATGCCCCTACAAGAATCTGTCATCATTGATGAAAGTGCCCCTTTCGAAGACAACCTTCCGAGATTGATCGTGTCAAAGCACAGTTCCTGGGACTTCGACGCCGTGCATCGACCTCACTGTTGCGTCCTGACAGTCGTAAACTGTGCCATGACATCATTCCTGGGACTTCAACACCGCGAATCAACGTGACTGTTGCGTCCTGACGATCAACGCCGTGCCACAAAACCATTTCTGGGATTTCAACCACACGAATCCTTGAAGCTGACGCAAGCTCTGCAAAGGACTGTTCGCGGCGCTCGGGGCAGAATCACATTTTGAAAACGAGCCGCCGTTCATTCTACAAGCTGGTGTAAGCTTTTCAGGCAAACGCGCTGGGCGCTAAGGCGAGAACTTGATTTTGACATCAAGCCGCCCTCCATCCTGACAGCCGGTGCAAGCTTTTCAGATTCATGTACGCGGCGCCAAGGCGAGAACGACAGTTTGAAAGCGACCCGGCCTCGATCTTTGAAGCTGCTGCACTATTTCAGCGCCGGAGTGCGTTGCGCTAAGGCGAGAGCTACAACTCGAAACGGCCCGCCCTCCATCTTTGAAACTGCTGCAACAATCAAGCTTCGGACTAATGCAGCCGTGGGGGGCTCATATCTGTCTGTTTGGCTTGTCTCCCCCTTACCCGCTATCTTGCTCGTTCGTCCGTTCCCTCTTTCCCTTTCCCTTTTCTCTTGACAGGCACCTGCGCCAACGCAGGCGCTCGGGGTTGAGTACTGCTCTCTGTCCACCACGGCAATGTTTAGCAGTTTGGTGGGGCAATTTTGCACCATGATGGTCGTGTCTGTCAGGCATCAGCAATGCTCTCAGCAGGCATCTTTATTGGTGGGGCTATGGCTTGGCGGTGTCCGGGAGGAACAGGCAATCAGGCTTCGGAATCATAAATGGTAGGGGAATCCCAGGCGACACGCGGGGTCCGTCCTATCGATACGTCTGGGGGTGCGGCAGGGAAAAGTTCTTCAATCACTTCGCTCAGTCCGCGGATGTGGCTCGCACGCTGTGGAAGAGAGCGGATATATTGCCCCAGAGGGCGCCACTATGGCTCAACTGAGCTCCAGCAGAGTTTCGAGACGTTGAGGCCTCAGGGGAGCCTCTTGGGGGCTTTTTCGGGGCCTCTTCGGGCTTCCTGGGGGCCGGGTCTTGGGAGCCTCTTTTGGGAGCCTCTTTTGGGGCCTCTTGTGGGCCTCGAGGGGCCTTTTCGGGGTCTTCTGGGGGGGTCTTCCTGGGCGCCTCTTGGGGCCGAGAGTTCGAAATGTCTGTACGGGTCCCCCTCTGGGCTCCCTTTTGAGCCATCCTTGGGCCGTCTTGGAGGCCCCTTGGGCCATCATAAGGCCATATTGGGCCGTGTGGGGGCCCTCTTAGGGGCTTTCTTGTGCCGTTCTGTAGCGATCTTTGAGTCTCTTTGGCCGTCCACGGCACCAATGACGATGATGATGATGATGATGATGATGATGATGATGATGATGATGATGATGATGATGATGATGATGCTGATGATGATGATGATGATGATGATGATGATGATGATGATGATGATGATGATGATGATGATGATGATGATGATGATGATGATGATGATGATGATGATGCTGATGATGCTGATGATGCGGATGATGATGATGATGATGCTGATGATGCTGATGATGCTGATGATGCTGATGATGCTGATGATGCTGATGATGCTGACGATGCTGATGATGCTGATGATGCTGATGATGCTGATGATGAGGAGGATGAGGATGAGGATAAGGATGATGAAGCTGATTAGATGATGCTGCTGATGATGATGCTGACGATGATGAGGATGATGATGCTGCTGATGATGAGGATGCTGATGATGGTGATGGTGGTAAGTTTTATCATGATGATGATGATGATATTGAAGATGATGATGATGCTGATGATGATGATGATGACGATGATGACGATTATGGTGATGATGCTGCTGATGACGATGACTATGATGCTGATGATGAGGATGATGATGCTGACGCTGCTGCTGATGATGACGATGATGATGATGATGCTGATGCTGCTGCTGATGATGAGGATGATGATGATGCTGATGCTGATGCTGATGCTGATGCTGCTGCTGCTGCTGCTGATGCGCTAATGATGATGATGATGATGATGATGATGATGATGATGATGATGATGATGATGATGATTATGATGATGATGATGATGATGATGTGGTGGTGGTGTGGTGGTGGTGGTGATGATGATGATGATGATGATGATGATGATGATGAGGAGAGGAGGAGGAGGAGGAGGAGGAGGAGGAGGAGAGAGGAGGAGGAGGAGAGGAGAGGAGGAGGAGGAGGAGGAGGAAGAGAAGGATGAAGAGGAGGAAGAGGTGGAGGTGGAGGTAGAGGTGGTGGTGGAGGTGGAGGTGGAGGTGGAGGTGGAGGTGGAGGAGGAGGATGAGGAGGAGGAGGTGGATCCTGCTTCTCCCCCCTCGTGCCCTCCTCCGCCCCTCTCTCTTTGGCCCCGCGGCCACCGGCCCGAGCGCGCGTCCCCCCATGGCCGCGCGGCGGCACCGCGATGGCCACGCCGTCCCCGCAGCCCGTCGGCGCCGTGGCTGAGGCGCGCCTGGAGATGGGAGCAGGAGGAGGAGGAGGAGGAGGAGGAGGAGGAGGAGGAGGAGGAGAGGAGGAGGAGGAGGAGGAGAAGGAGGAGGAGGAGGAGGAGGACGAGGAGGAGGAGGAGGTGGAGGCAGGGGCGTCGTGTCGTCCCGTGGCCAGCACCTGGGCGGGCTGTCGGTCCTCGCATGGGTGCTGAGAAAAGAACCTCCCTGTTGGGCGCACCCCCCTCGTCGTGCTGTTTCAGGGGCCTCTGGCCGCGGTACGCCTGGCCCTGGTGGACACCAGAGCTAAGACTGTTCTGGTGCCAGGGCCGCGGATTCGGTGAAGGATATGTAACGTTGATTTCGGAGGGGGAGGAGGAGCAGCAGCAGGATGGAGGAGGAGGGAGGATGAGGACGCGGATGGAGGATGGGGGGAGGGGGTGCTCCTGCTTCATTCCTCGTCGTCTGGGTCTTTGTGGGGCCCTATCTTTGCAACGGGTGTGTCTGCTTGAAGATCCGATTCAGAGCGCGCTCTGGGCGAGGTCTGGGGGTCGAGCCCACAGGGAGCATTATGAGGGCGGAAGAAGGACGGAGAGATGGCTGATGATGAAGGGAGAGTGTGAGGAGGCAGAGGAGGAGGAGGAGGAGGAGGAGGAGGAGGAGGAGGAGGAGGAGGCGGAGGCGGAGGCGGAGGAGGAAGAGGAGGACTGGGGGACTGGGGGACTGGGGGACTGGGGGACGGAGGAGAAGGGATGGGGAGAATGAGGAGGATGAGGAGTATGAGAAAGAAACGTAATCGGAGGAGGATGAAGGCGGGCAAGCGACGGCGGGTTGCCGGAGGGCTTGTGTGTTTAATGCAACTCCTGAGGATGTCTTCTTGCAAGGGGGGGCTGTGTAGTACATGGGTGTCGTGTTGGAGCCGGATGGTGTTGAGTGGACAGGTGATGTGTTGGAGACGGAGGCTGTTGTTTACGAGGGTCCCCGCCCGGGGAGTCCGAACATGTGCAAACCGTATCTGATAATTTATAGAGTCAGCGGAGAGAGGGGGTCATGGTATGTACAGCGGGCAATGCCTGCGCTTGGGTGGGCGGTTTGAGTTTTCAAAGGAGGTGTGGGGCGGAAGTGGAGGTGAAGAATGAGGGGAGGGCTCGTTGCCGCATGCCCCCCGCAGGATGGCGAGGTGGCAGGGCTCGTCCATCAGACCCACGGGCGGAGGCGCACGCCAGACAAGGACGGCCTGCTGCCGACGGGGCCGAAGCACTCTCCTCTCCTGGGAGTCCGGTGACAGATGGTCTACTGACTCGGAACCCAGGAGGTCACCCGCGGGGCTGCCACGATCACCGTGCCTCGCGCTTCGTGCTTGGCGGAGGAGAGCCGCAGAGGCGTTCCCGACCAGCGGGCGGCTCGAGAGCGCGGAGATATAAACGCGCGCTGCGGCGCCGCGAAGCTGGGCGACCCGAGGAGCGGCCGAACACCTCACTGGACCGTCTGCCACCAGACTGCCTCGCGGCATCCCCGTGATACGGCCCAGGTCCGAGGGCCAGCCCGTTTCGCGGCTTCCTCGGGGGCTGCGAAGTGCGCAGCCGTCGCCGTTTCCGCGGCAGGCACGGCCGAATGCAGGGCGGCGCAGATCATTCGGGACCCCGCGGCTTCCCCGGGGGCCGCGCACTGCGCAACGGACGCCGTTTCCGCTGGCTCCTGGTGGAGTCGCGTCCTGCGCAGGGGGGCGTCTTCTCTACGGCCGAGCTCGGGGGCTGGGAGCCAGCCCCCGAGCTCGGCCTCGACGAGGGCGCCCCCGCTCCGAGGCCGCCCCTGCTGCACTCGAATCTTCACGGGCGGGCCTCTGGGCTTCAGTGGGAGGAGGAGGAGGAGGAGGAGGAGGAGGAGGAGGAGGAGGAGGAGGAGGAGGAGGAGGAGGAGGAGGAGGAGGAGGAGGAGGAGGAGGAGGAGGAGGAGGAGGAGGAGGAGGAGGAGGAGGAGGAGGAGGAGTGTCCGTTCGGCAAGGTTTTAGCCCCTTTTCGGCCTCCAGGGGCCGTTTCGGGGCCCAGGACCGCCAACAACGGATGCGGGGTGAATAATTGCACCATGTAGACCCCGGGAGGAGTCCAGGGACCGATCTTGAGCGGATTTGCCCTTCTATCCTCTGTCTCTAGGCCTCCCGGATGTGGTCCGAGTAGATGGGGTCGGAGGACCGCGCCGTCCGACTTTCTCCACGCCGATGTCGCGGATGCATCGCCGACGTCGCCGATGCGTCGACAATTCGGCGCGGTCTTCCGATCCCATCTGCTCCGACCTATCTGGGAGGCCTCCAGGCGCCCCCTGTGCGCAGGGGGGGTGCGTCGTGGGGGCTTGGGGCTTCCAAGTGTGGACCTGGGCCTCTCCAGAACCGCCCAACAAAAAGGCTCTGGCATGGCTTCATAATGCCCGAAGAGCCCCCAGGACAGTCCAAGAGGCTCCCGAGACGGAGAATGCACAAGAAACGGCCGAATGTGCTCCCAAACGTGCCCAACATGTTTTCAACAAGGCCCCCGCGGAGAGGTCCAGAGCTAAACTCCTTCAACCACCTATGAGAAGTCTATACTTTTAGCCTTGTAGTTCCCCACATGCTTAGTGGGGTTCTGGTTTTCTTCCTTGCCGCGTCGCACCCGCGTCTCACCGCACACCTCCCCTCCTCCTCACAGCACTGCTCCGCACAGCTCAGCTCAGCTCAGCTCAGCACGGCACAGCTTAGCACAGCTTAGCTCAGCTCAGCTCAGCACAGCACAGCACAGCGCAGCACAGCACAGCTCACCGCAGCACAGCACAGCACAGCACAGCACAGCACAGCACAGCACAGCACAGCACACAAGCCAGCGGCCGCGGTGAGGGACCACCCCCTGCGCACCCTCTGTGGTGTCGAAAAAGTGCCACGTCGAGCTGGGGGTGGGGACGCTATCCGTTTCAGGCTCGCAAAGCGTGGCAGGCGTGGCTTCTCGACACCACAGGGGGGGGAGCTGTGGGTGGGGACGCTATCCGTTTCAGGCTCGCAAAGCGTGGCAGGCGTGAGTTTCTCGACACCTCAGGGGGTGAGCTGTGGGTGGGGACGCTATCCGTTTCGGGCTCGCAAAGCGTGGCAAGCGTGGGGGTGGTCCCTGAGCTCGCCCGCTATCCACGACACTGTCGCAAAGTCTAGCAGGCGTAGCACTTTCTCGACACCAGAGGGGGTGCGCAGGGGGTGGTCCCTGAGCGCGGCCGCTATCCACGACACTGTCGCAAAGCCTAGCAGGCGTGGCACTCTCTCGACACCAGAGGGGGTGCGCAGGGGGTGGTCCCTGAGCTCGCCCGCTATCCACGACACTGGCGCAAAGCCTAGCAGGCGTGGCACTTTCTCGACACCACAGGGGGTGCGCAGGGGGTGGTCCCTGAGCTCGCCCGCTATCCACGACACCGTCGCACAGCCTAGCAGGCGTGGCAGTTTCACGACACCGTAGGGGGTGTGCAGGGGGTGGTCCCTGAGCTCGCCCGCTATCCACGACACTGTCGCAAAGCCTAGCAGGCGTTGCAGTTTCACGACACCGTAGGGGGTGCGCAGGGGGTGGTCCCTGAGCTCGCCCGCTATCCACGACACTGTCGCAACGCCTAGTAGGCGTGGCAGTTTCACGACACCGTAGGAGGTGCGCAGGGGGTGGTCCCTGAGCTTGCCCGCTATCCACGACACTGTCGCAAAGCCTAGCAGGCGTGGCAGTTTCACGACACCGTAGGGGGTGCGCATGGTGGTGGTCCCTGAGCGCGGCCGCTATCCACGACAATGTCGCAAAGCCTAGCAGGCGTGGCACTTCCTCGACACCAGAGGGGGTGCGCAGGGGGTGGTCCCTGAGCGCGGCCGCTATCCACGACACTGGCGCAAAACCTAGAAGACGTGGCCCTTTCTCGACACCAGAAGGGGGTGCGCAGGGGGTGGTCCCTGAGCTCGCCCGCTATCCACGACACTGTCGCAAAGCCTAGCAGGCGTGGCACTTCCTCGACACCAGAGGGGGTGCGCAGGGGGTGGTCCCTGAGCGCGGCCGCTGTCGCAAAGCCTAGCAGGCGTGACGCTTTCTCGACACCAGAGGGGGCGCGCAGGGGGTGGTCCCTGAGCTCGCCCGCTATCCACGACACTGGCGCAAAGCATAGCAGGCGTGGCACTTTCTCGACACCAGAGGGGGTGCGCAGGGGGTGGCCCTTGAGCTCGCCCGCTATCCACGCCACTGTCGCAAAGCCTAGCAGGCGTTGCAGTTTCACGACACCGTAGGGGGTGCGCAGGGGGTGGTCCCTGAGCCCGCCCGCTATCGACGACACTGTCGCAAAGCCTAGCAGGCGTGGCGGTTTCACGACACCGTAGGGGGTGCGCAGGGGGTGGTCCCTGAGCGCGGCCGCTATCCACGACACTGTCGCAAAGCCTAGCAGGCGTGGCAGTTTCACGACACCGTAGGGGGTGCGCAGGGGGTGGTCTCGACCGCTATCCACGACACTGTCGCAAAGCCTAGCAGGCGTGGCGCACGACACCGTAGGGGGTGCGCAGGGGGTGGTCCCTGAGCGCCCGCTATCCACGCCACTGTCGCAAAGCCTAGCAGGCGTGGCGGTTTCACGACACCGTAGGGGGTGCGCAGGGGGTGGTCCCTGAGCGCGGCCGCTATCCTAGCAGGCGTGGCACTTTCTCGACACCGAGGGGGTGCGCAGGGGGTGGTCCCTGAGCTCGCCCGCTATCCACGACACTGTCGCAAAGCCTAGCAGGCGTGGCAGTTTCACGACACCGTAGGAGGTGCGCAGGGGGTGGTCCCTGAGCTTGCCCGCTATCCACGACACTGTCGCAAAGCCTAGCAGGCGTGGCAGTTTCACGACACCGCAGGAGGTGCGCAGGGGGTGGTCCTTGAGCTCGCCCGTTATCCACGACACTGTCGCAAAGCGTAGCAGGCGTGGCAGTTTCACGACACCGTAGGGGGTGCGCAGGGGGTGGTCCCTGAGCGCGGCTGCTATCCACGTCACTGTCGCAAAGTTTAGCAGGCGTGGCACTTCCTCGACACCACAGGGGGGGAGCTGTGGGTGGGGACGCTACCCGTTTCGGGCTCGCAAAGCGTGGCAGGCGTGGCATTTCCTCGACACCACAAGGGGTGGAGCTGTGGGTGGGGACGGTATCCGTTTCAGGCTCGCAAAGCGTGGCAGGCCTGGCACTTCCTCGACACCACAGGGGGGGAGCTGTGGGTGGGGACGCTATCCGTTTCGGGCTCGCAAAGCGTGGCAGGCGTGGCACTTCCTCGACACCACAGGGGGGGAGCTGTGGGTGGGGACGCTATCCGTTTCGGGCTCGCAAGCGTGGCAGGCGTGGCACTTCCTCGACACCACAGGGGGTGCGCTGGGGGTGGTCTCTATCCGTTGCGGGCTCGCAAAGCGTGGCAGGCGTGGCACTTCCTCGACACCACAGGGGGCGCGTTGGGGGTGGTCTCCCTATCCGTTGCGGGCTCGCACAGCGTGGCAGGCGTTGCACTTCCTCGGCACCACAAGGGGTGCGCTGGGGGTGGTCACCCTATCCGTGACGGGCTCGCAAAGCGTGGCAGGCGTGGCACTTCCTCGGCACCACAGGGATTGCGCTGGGGGTGGTCTCCCTATCTGTGACGGGCTCGCAAAGCGTGGCAGGCGTGGCATCTCCTCGACACCACAGGGGGTGCGCTGGGGATGGTCTCCTTATTCGCTGCGAGCTCGCAAAGCGTGGCAGGCGTGGCACTTCCCCGACACCACAGGGGATGCGCTGGGGTTTGTCTCCTTATCCGTTGCGGGCTCGCAAAGTGTGGCAGGCGTTGCACTTCATCGACACCACAGGGGGTGCGCTGGGGGTGGTATTTTTTTCCGTTGCGGGCTCGCACAGCGTGGCAGGCGTGGCACTTCCTCGACACCACAGGGGGGGCGCTGGGGGTGGTCGCCCTATCCGTTGCGGGCTCGCAAAGCGTGGCAGGCGTGGCACTTCCTCGACACCACAGGGAGTGCGCTGGGGGTGGTATCCTTATCCGCTGCGAGCTCGCACAGCGTGGCAGGCGTGGCACTTCCTCGGCCCCACAAAGGGGGAGGTGGTCACCCTATCCGTGACGGGCTCGCAAAGCGTGGCAAGCAATATGGCGTTGGATGACACATAGGGAAACATTCGCGACGAGGGCTCAGAACGCAGGATTGCGCATATATTAAAACATAAGCAAGCACATCATATTTAAATTAAGTATGTGGGGTTCTTCGGTAGCGTAATTTTTTGTTCGCTTGATATGAGCTTCCGAATTCCCCAACTGGGGCCCGCGGCGTTCAATGGGGCTCCGAGGTAGATTGGACTGAGTCTGACGAGGGTCCGAAGAGAGCTCAAAGATGATCCCTGAAGGATCTCCAAGAGAGCCCAAAAGGCTTGGATTCCCAAATGCTCCGAACATGTCTCAAAAAAGGCTCTGCGAAGATTCCAGCTGCCAGACTGTACGCCTCCCTGTTTCATTACATGCCTATCTTCTCGCCTCCTTTCTACGACTCCTCTGAACGTCGTTTCTGGAGGTGTTGGTGGGGATACGCGAATCTATCAGGATAGGTGGCTGCCTCCGTGATGCTGGCTTCAAGGGGTCCCCGTACCACGCTCGTGTACGAAGTATGCCAGATTGGGATTGCTTCTCGGGTGGTCCGGGCGTCCGCTCTGGTTTTTATATGCTTTGATTCTCGTGGGGACCTTCTTATCGCGCAGTTTGCGGTCTTGGGAGCCTCGTGGGCTTCTCGTATGTGTTTTAGGGTCGTCTTGGGGCCTCGTGCTCCCATGGGTGTGTTTTGTAACAGCAGGCGGAGGAGAAACCGTTGGAGGTGGAGGAGGAGGAGGAAGATGAGGAGGATGAGGACGAGGAGGGTGATGATGATGATGATGATGATGATGCTGATGGTGATGATGATGATGATGATGATGATGATGATGATGATGATGTTGATGATGATGATGATGACGACGATGATGATGATGCTGATGATGATGATGCAAATGCTGATGCTGATGCTGATGATGATGATGCTGAGGATGATGATGCTGATGATGATGATGATGACGATGCTGATGATGATGATGCTGATGCTGATGCTGATGCTGATGCTGATGAAGATGAAGATGATGATGATGATGATGATGATGATGATGATGATGATGATGATGATGACGATGATGCTGATGGTGATGATGATGCTGATGCTGATGCTGATGCTGATGCTGATGCTGATGCTGATGCTGATGCTGCTGATGCTGATGATGATGATGATGATGATGATGATGATGATGATGATGATGATGATGATGATGATGATGATGATGATGATGATGATGATGATGATGATGATGATGATGATGATGATGATGATGATGATGATGATGATGATGATGATGATGATGATGATGCTGAATGATGATGATGCTGATGATGATGATGATGATGATGATGATGATGATGATGAGGATGATGATGATGATGATGATGATGATGATGATGATGATGATGATGATGATGATGATGACTGATGATGATGATGATGATGCTGGATGATGATGATGTGATGATGATGATGATGATGATGACGATGATAGTGCTGATGCTGATGATGATGATGTGCTGATGATGATGATGATGATGATGATGATGATGATGATGATGATGATGATGATGATGATGATGATGATGATGATGATGATGATGATGATGATGATGATGATGATGATGATGATGATGATGATGATGATGATGATGATGATGATGATGATGATGATGATGATGATGATGATGATGATGATGATGATGATGATGATGATGATGATGATGATGATGATGATGATGATGATGATGATGATGATGATGATGATGATGATGATGATGATGATGATGATGATGATGATGATGATGATGATGATGATGTTGATGCTGATGAGGATGCTGATGAGGATGAGGATGAGGATGAGAATGAGGATGAAGATGAGGATGAGGAAGAGGAAGAGGAAGAGGAAGAGGAAGAGGAAGAGGAAGAGGAAGATGGAGGTGGAGGAGGAGGAGGAGGAGGAGGAGGTGGAGGAGGAGGCCGCCGATGTCGGCCGATTGGCCTCCCTTGCGCAGGAGCTGGGGGAGCCGCCGCCCCGCGCCGCGCTGGGGGCGCTGCTGCTGGCGGTCTTGGCCCTGGCCGCGGGCGGCGCCGCCTGGGCCCTCCTGGCCTGTCCTGCTGGGGCTGCACGGCCCGCGCTCCTGCAGGCGCACGCGGCAGGCTGGGAAGGCCAGGCCGCGCTCGCGGGGCGGGCGCCCGTTCCGTCTGGCACGGCAGCGGCGGGTCAGGTCGGCGGCGAAATCAGAACCCTACCCTCGCCGATCAACGATTTAGGGGACTCGATGGGCGGCAGGGGTGGGGTTCGGAACTCGTCGAGCACGTGGCGAAATCCGAACCGTACCCCCGCCTCCCATCAATTCAGGAGAATCGATGGTTGGTGAGGGTAGGGTTTGGATGTCGTCACCTACCAGGGCAGCTGGGCCGAGCTGGCGGCGCTGCCGCAGCCCGCAGCCACTGGCACGGCGGCGGCTGGCCAGCAGAGCTCCTCCGCGCCTGCGGCGCCAGCGCCACTGGCCTCTGCCGCGGCCGCGGCGGGCTCGGGAGGTCCCGTCGCCTCCACCTCTCGAGCCGCGTCTGCTGCGGCCTCCAGGGACGCTGCTCTGTCAGCGCGTGCGAGGGACGAGCTGGTTGCCCTCATAGATGCCGTTCAGAACGACTGTTCGCGGGAAGCGGAGGCGGTGCAAATCGGGGCTGGCGGTGGCTTCGCCTCCAAGTTCCAGCTCGCTGCAGGGAAGTTTGCGGCGGCCCTGCGCAGGGGACGCAGCGCTCGATTCGTGGGTCACTGGGCTGGGTACTCCGAGATCACCTCATGCAAGGATTTGCTGGGAGCACAGGTATTCAGCGAGAAAGGATCCTATGCATGCTTTTTCATGCCCGAGACCCTGTGCTCTGCAAACTCCAGCAGTAACGCTGCCGTGCGGGCGGCTGCAGAGGATGCCGTTGCGAAGCTGAAGGAGGCGGAGGCAGGCCGCCTGTTCAATGCAGTCGAGGCCTTTATGTTCCGGCCGAGGCCAGCTACCACCGCCGAGTTTCAGAGGCTCGAGTCTGCGGTGGGCTTATTCGGTGGGGACCACGAGGATGCCGTACTCATCGGGATACACGAGAGACGCGGGGACAAGATCTCGGACACCTACAACAGATACTACACGTCGATGGAGTATGCGCAGGTGGCTTTCGCGGCGGCTGGCGCGGTCGCCTCCGTAAGGCAAGCTGACTCTGCCGTGCCACACCGTGGAGAACGCTCGTGCGTGGTGTACGTTGCCTCGGACAGCTCTCAAGCGTTGCCCGACCTCCAGGCCCTCCTCGGAGGCGTGGTCGCGGGAAGCTGCAGGCTTAGGGTGGTTGGCCAGAGAGCGTCCGTGACGCAGCGAACGATGGACTCGCACCGGTTCGACCACTGGGGAGAGAACCAGGGCATGGCCGGCAAGGTTCGGGACGATCGAAGCGTCCACGGAAAGAACGGGCACGAAGACCAGCGGCAGTTCTGGTTCCTTCTGAACAGGATGCGCGGTCGGCGTCGCCGCGGGCGGTGTCCGTTTTGAGACAGGAGACCGCCTGGTCAGCAGCAGCCGCTGTCGGTTTTGGACAACATGTGCTGCTGGGCATCGTGCCCATGTTTTCCGTACCCATGTCGGACGTCCAGAGAGGTCGGGCGCCTGACAGCCGCCGAGGCTAGGCAGGCCACTCTCGAGGTGCTGTTCGACATCTACGCCCTCAGCCTCGCCGACGTGCTGGTCGGTACGCTGACCTCGCAGATCGGGCGCATGGCCGCGGGGCTGCGGCGGCTGTGCCCCGGCGGCCGGGCGCTCGCGCTGGACCTCAGTGGAGCAAGAGGTCATGGTAAGGTATGATATGGATAGAGAGGTCATGGTCAGAGTGAGGGGGCCGAATCGTGAGGGGGCCGAACTGTCAGTCACTGTCCCTGGGCGCGCGGCTCAAGGATGATTCTGCGGTGCGGATTGTTGTCGTTGTTGATGTTGTTTTTGTTTTGTTTTTGTGATCGTTTTTTTTTGTTGTTGCTGTTGTTGTTGCTGTTGATGTTGCTGCTGTTGTTATTGTTGTTGTTGTTGTTGTTGTTGTTGTTGTTGTTGTTGTTGTTGTTGTTGTTGTTGTTGTTGTTGTTGTTGTTGTTGTTTTGTTGTTGTTGTTGTTGTAGTTGTTGTTGTATTGTTGTTGCTGTTGTTGTTGTTGTTGTTGTTGTCGTCGTCGTCGTCGTCGTCGTCGTCGTCGTCGTCGTTGTTGTTGTTGTTGTTGTTGTTGTTGTTGTTGGTGTTGTTGAACTCTCACTATTGAATTCAAGTCTTGTTGATCCCCCCTCCGATTACATTTTTTTTTTTTGAATTCAAGTGCTTCCTCCAGAACTTGTTCTTTGTTTTCATCAGGGAAAGTCACTCGGGTCAAACTGCGTTGTTGGCCCCGGAACTACAATAACAACGGCTCCAGCCTTATACTTCCTCATAGTTTATTCGCAAATCACGTCTCGCTCTGGATTTCCTCACAAAGCATGTACGCATCGCGCTCTCGCGTGGGACTTCCGACTTCCTCGCAATTCATTCAGACGCCGCGCTCTCGACATTCAGGACTCACACTCTCGCTGTGGATTTCCTCACGATTGATTTGGGAATCGAGCTGTCGCTCGAGACTTCCTCGCGATTCATGCAGGACGCACACTTGAGCAACCCGCCTGCTTGACCTGGCCGCCTGGGCCCTCCTTCCCGACCCGCCGCCTGGTAATTAGGGTCTACCCGCCCGATCTTCCCGTCTGGTTCTGCCACGTGTTTTCTGCTTCCAGCCCGTGCTCCATCCTCCTCCTTCGCCCTTGTCCTTCCTTCCATCCGTGCTCTCTTCCCCTGCCTTAGGGGCTGCGCAACATACACGTTGCAGGTAAGAAGGATATACCCCCAAGGGGGTACGGTCGAGGACAAAGAGGGCGGGTATCGAGGGTTCGGGATATTCGTGTTGAATGGCACGCTAGCAGATAAGAACGATCAGTCTTAAATTGATTGCTTGTGTTGTTGTAGTTGTTGTTGTTGCTGTTGCTGTTGCTGTTTCTGTTGTTGTGATTGCTGTTGTTGTGGTTGTTGTTATTATTGATACTGTTGTTGCAGTTGCTGTTTTTGTTGTCGTCGTCGTTGTTATTGGTGTTTGTCGTGGTTTGTTGTTTGCTTGTTCGGTTCGCCTGCTTGTTTGCTTGGTTGTTTGTTTCTTCGTTCGTTCGTTAGGTGTTGTTGTTGTTGTTGCTGTTGTTGTCGTTGTCGTTGTCGTTGTCGTTGTCGTTGTCGTTGTTGTTGTTGTGGCTGTTGTTGCTGTGTGATGATTTAGTTAGTTAGTTTGTTAGTTTGTTTAGTCGTTCGTTGTGTTTTTTTGCTGTTGCTGTTGCTGCTGTTGTTGTTGTTGTTGCTGTTGTTGTTGTTGTTGTTGTTGCTGCTGTTGTTGTTGTTGTTGTTGTTGTTGTTGTTGTTGTTGTTGTTGCTGCTGTTGTTGTTGTTGTTGTTGTTGTTGTTGTTGTTGAACATTATTACTTCTAAAGAATAATTATTGTTGGGGCTCCTGGTGCATGGCCCCCTCGCCGCGCCTAGGCCGCAGCCACATTTTCATCATTTTCGTGAGGAAGTCTCAGGTAAAACGATGTCATCCAGATCCGGTTGTGTTGTTACGATCGGTTTTCCCTTGCAAAAAATAAGCTAAAGTGGACATTTCTTGTTCTAACATAACCAAACTTCAAGAATCCCTTGCAAAAAATAAGGTAAAGTGGACATTCGCGCGCGCAAGACGAAATCCTTCCAAAACCTTAGTTTTCGTAGCGATTTTAACATAAAAACATCAAAAAACCAATGGTTTTTCAAAAAAAAATGTCAAAATTTCATCCCGCGCGCTCTTGCGGATTCGTAGGAAACCCAACACTTTTTAAACATTTCTGTCAAACGGGCTTTTGCGAGCAACTTTTTCGAACTTCTGCAACAACGGTTGCGCACCTGCCAGGGCCATCATCCCTGTCAAATAATACCATGCGGGACACATTCGTTTTTTCTTCGCGCGCGCACGCCGTCGTCGTCGGCCGCGGGGCCCTGAATAGTAGCCACGGTCGTCCGCATGCCACGAAGTGAAGTGTCCGAACGTCATAGGGCGGGAAGCTGGGTGTGGGTGGTGGCGAAGAGTCGTTTGGAAATTTGGTAGAGCTTGAACCGGCCCCCCCACAAAGTGGGGGTATTGCCCGCCTCCTATGAAAACCCTGGCACTGGTGAGAACGGAGTGTCCCCACGTGCTAGTAATTGTTGTTGTTGTTGTTGTTGTTGTTGTTGTTGTTGTTGTTGTTGTGGTTGTTGTTGT